ATACCCCTTATTTGTATGCTAAATAAATAGCTGGTAATACTGAAAGAAAAAACAACAATCTTATAGATAAAAAAAATATCTTGTTTCTAGAATTATCTAATTAAATCAAGTATGAGTAATGCAAGCTAACTTTATTTTACATTCTTTGTTTCGTGGTTTTATTGTATAAATAAGTATAATATTGATTATAAAACCTTATAAAATAAGATATTTGCATATAAAAAAATTTCTAATAAAACTTTCTTTCACATGAAAGGCATTATCAACATGTTCATCATAAAGAAATGTAAAATTGCAATCATTTTTTATTACTTTAATAATTTGCATAATATATTTTTTTAGTTAATAAAAGTTTCATTTGTAGTGTAAAAACAGTTTCAATTTTGTGAAGTAGGTTTTGTAAAAAAGAATTAGTAATAAATAAGTCACATATGTAAATATTTTTGACAAACTTGAATTTTTTTTATCAAATCATCTGCAATTAATTTCAAAACCTGTTTAATTGATTGTGAAGCTTCATCACTAGAAACATTTGGTAATGCATATGGTTATAATGCAAATGGCTATTTGAAAATCATTATTTTTATTTGTAGAGATATGATTCTCAAATACTATGTTAGTAATTTAGTCAATAGTAACTGCAGCAGAGAAATCTAATTTTCAGTACCCTTAAAAGGATGCCATTATTTACAATTACCATATTAGTATCAATATCAGTACAGTATCAGTATACAATATCAGTATTTGTAACGCCTTAATCCAAACTCTTAAATCTTCAAGTTGTTGTTGTTGGTTTATCTGCTTTTATTTTACGAGAATTTAAGATGTCAAATAAAATATCTGTATTTTCAATAAAAAAGACTGTTGACAAAACATTTTAAGGCAATAGTTTTGCAGAAGCATATTCAGTTAGTAACAACTTGACTACTAAAAATTTGGGTTTTTACTTTGCAGTAATACTTCATGCTAATATTGATCCTGGATCTAAATGATAATCTGTCAATTATGGCAAAAGTTTGTTTTTTTGGTTTGCTGCCATTAATTAAATTCCAATTATCTTGTTAACGTTTTTTTGTCATAATCAAGATGTTGCTTTAAAGGCATTTCATTAAAAAAAATGGCTACAGTTCCGTTCCAATTTTTTCAAGGTATCTACTCATTTTTAGTAATGTCTTAACCTCATTGGAAAACTCAGGTTATAGGCTCCCAAAAGATTTTTCAAGAAACATTACAATAGTGTTTCTAGCAGGTAATAAAAAAACTCTTCTAAACATTTTAAAAGCTGACTGCGATACATGATCCTTAAAGCTAAAATTTTATCTTTAATAGCCAAATGTTTTCCTTGTTTAACACGCTTATTCATACGTAAATGACTTTCAAAAAATTGTAGATGGCTGTTTGTTAAATTTTTTTAATGTAAATTAATGTGTTCTATTGAACCATCTCCTTTTTTAAATATCTTTTACTTCACCTTTAGGTTCTTGTATTTTTTTTTTGTTTTTTTTTTGTTTGACAAATCTTAACTTGAGATAATAAATACTTATTTTCAAAAGTATTTTTGACAGTTATGTTATTTGTACTACTATTTTCAACAACATTTATTTCATTTCATTTATTTTTATAATCGATTTCTTTTTTTTTTTGTATTTTATTCAGTAAATGTCTGTTAGCTATTTTCTCTTTAAATTTAACATACAAGGTTGATTTGTAAAATCAAAAATTGTTTGTACATCAGTTACAAGTGTTCTTTTACCACCATTATTGGCAAGATAGTTTTGGAAAAATCACAATGTTCACTACAAATAGTATAGTTATGATTAAGTTCTTCACATAATTTTGCATAAAGATCTTGACGACAATTACAAACTTAAACCTAATTTATTTGGTGGATTTATTTGCATCATTTTATGTATAATATTTCTTAACATTTAAAGTAAAACAGTGTTTTAAAAGCTTCTTTAAATTTTTGGTATACAAATTATTTAATAAATATGCTGGGGCCCTGGTCACTTACTAATGTCACTGATGGGTTAACTATATCAAATAAAACCTGGAAATCATTGTTAATAAACCATTATTTTGCTGTTGACACAAATAAAAATGAATTTTTTACTCTGCATTTATTTTTATTTAAAGTAGGTTGTACGATTACAACAAAATGTTGCAAAATTTTTTGAGGTGGCTTTCCATTGTTGAAACTATTGTTCCCATTGGAAAACCATTTTTGGTTTTATGCACCTTAATACACTCATACAAGTAGCGCGGAATTGCATTTGAAGAATAGATTTTGTTATAGATTTTTTAAATTGAATTTTTTATGTTTTTTCAATTTATAAGTTAACTATATCAAATAAAACCTGGAAATCATTGTTAATAAACTATTCTTTTGCTGTTGACACAAATAAAAATGAATTTTTTACTCTGCATTTATTTTTATTTAAAGTAGGTTGTACGATTACAACAAAATGTTGCAAAATTTTTTGAGGTGGCTTTCCATTGTTGAAACTATTGTTCCCATTGGAAAACCATTTTTGGTTTTATGCACCTTAATACACTCATACAAGTAGCGCGGAATTGCATTTGAAGAATAGATTTTGTTATAGATTTTTTAAATTGAATTTTTTATGTTTTTTCAATTTATAAGTTAACTATATCAAATAGAACCTGGAAATCATTGTTAATAAACTATTCTTTTGCTGTTGACACAAATAAAAATGAATTTTTTACTCTGCATTTATTTTTATTTAGAGTAGGTTGTACGATTACAACAAAATGTTGCAAAATTTTTTGAGGTGGCTTTCCATTGTTGAAACTATTGTTCCCATTGGAAGACTATTTTTTGTTTTATGCACCTTAATACACTCATACAAGCAGCGTGGAATTGCATTTAAAGAATAGATTTTGTTATAGATTTTTTAAATTGAATTTTTTATGTTTTTTCAATTTACTAACAGAGTGTGAATAAGGTTTAAAAACTTTAAGTCAAGGTCAACAGTAGATATTGTGCAATTAACAAGTTGTTCTTTTTTTTTTGTATTGCTAATTGTAAATCCAAAATGGCAAATCCATTGCCTTTATCAAATGGATATACTTTATCCAAGTTGAATTATTTAGTTCATTGATAGCAAGAAGTTAGTTGTTAGAGATATTACTATCAATTTTGGCTCCTAAATATTTTGTTAATGTTTTGCTTACATTCTGCTTTTTCTACATTAACTTTTTTTCTATATTTAAAGCACATTCTTCAGTTGATGTTAAGTCAATAATCTTATTTGTATTGTGTCAGAATAAATTGTGAACCAAGACTTAATAAGTCTTCTCAGTTAAGAGACATTTTTTTATTAGAAAGATTTAATATTTGATTTTTTACAAGTTTAATAATGTCATGTTCACATCATGAATTATTTTTACGTTATTTTATATTTTAGAATTTCAAAATTGAACTTTTGTATTAAGTGTTGTTTAGTTTGATTAAGTTGTGCAAATATGATGAGAGAAAAAGTTGGCTCTGTGAGAAAAAACCCATCCTAAAGATTGCATTTGGATCGTGTATCAACACATAGTGTTTGATTTTCATTTTGGTAGATGCCTTCTCTGTATGGTGTGAAATTATTTAGGCAAGTAGCCACAAAGCTGTCACAGTTAAAGTGGTGCTCCTAATATATTATTGTGAAATTTTGATATCACATAACACTGCATAATTTCTTCATACTACTAATATGCACTTGTGGTAAGCACCCTATTTTCATTATGTCAATGACCAAAGAAAATAATGAGCTTATCATGTAAGACCTCACTATTATCAATTGCCCTCAATTAATTTGAACTGCTGAAATAATGGTATGGATAGTAAAGATAGATTTAAAACCTTATTTACAAAGTAAAGGTTTATTAATATTTAAATAGAATGCTGTTGAGTTGAAGTACAGTAGTATATGCTGGAAAATTAAAAGGTTTCTCTAAGATCACTTTTATGGTATTGACAAATTTAAAGTTTAAGCCATTGGTTATGGCTTAAAATTTTTATCTGTCAATGCCATAAAAATGATTTTATTTTATGGTATTGACATCTTTGATCTCTCAGGCTGCTAAAACGCTTGTTCCCATTAATATTAAGAAATTTTATCCAAACATTTAGAAACTTGTTACATCCAATGTACCTTTTTTTGCCTCACCTGGATGAGGTAGCTGTTGGTAGTTATTTTAAGAGTCACTAAAAATTATGCCAATTTTTGCAAAATCAAAAATTGTTTAAAGTGTTCATCTGTTGTTTTTATTTTCAAAATATTTTTATATTGAGAATATTTAATTTGACTTTTTTAATGACACCACACCCTAACTTCTAAAATTCACCACTCTCTAACTCCTAAAATTCACCACACCCTAGCTTCTAAAATTCACCACACCCTAACTTCTAAAATTCAACACACCATAACACTTCTAAAATTTACCACATCCTAACTTCTAAAATTCACCACTCTCTAACTCCTAAAATTCACCACACCATAACTTCTAAAATTCACCACACTCTAACTTCTAAAATTCATCACACTCTAATTTCTAAAATTCACCACACTCTAATTTTTAAAATTCAGCACACCCTAACTTCTAAAATTCACCACACCATAACTTCTAAAATTCACTTACTTTATGATAAAATATGAGATTATGAGATTATGAATCAGATACTGTAATTTTATCATTGCATTGATTTATTTCGAAGATTAAGTGATGTTTTCACTTTGTTCTTGCAATGCAATGCAATGATAAAATGCAATCATTAATAGAAAAACTATATCTGATGCCACAGACTAAAAGTGAAGTTGCTCACTTTTTGAACACTTTAAATAACATTTTTATACATTTTTATTTTTTTATTTTCAAAGACTTTTTCTAGTTTATATTGTTGTTTATATTTTATATAACTTTATATTATTTTATATAATTTTATATTAAAGAATATTTTTTAGAAATGTTTTTAACATTTTTACTTTTTTTAGAGGTGCTTTTAGCATTGTTAAAAGATGCATTCACAAAGAAAATCGCATGGAGTTTGCAGCAAAAATTTTCAATACAAAGAAACTATCAACTAGAGGTTAAATTAAATAAAATTTTAGTTAAAAATTTATTCTAATAATTGCATGGTTGCACTGATTAAAATAAATTACAGTGTAAGTATTCACACATTTTTTTCTTTTATGCTTTAGAATCAATTCTATTAATTTGTTTTAAATTGTAATTGATTTTTCTTTGTTAAAAATGATTTCAATATTCCCTTGTAAAAGCTGATACAAGTTTTGAGGATATAATTGCTCAAGTAAATTTGATATTTTAAAGTTTGCTTTTCACTTTCTTTAAAAAAGATTTTGCCATTTACCATTTATTTCCTCAAATTGACAAGCAAGCTTTTATTTTCACTGCTTATATTGATTTGATTATATTTTTGTACATGTTTTATAGTAATTTTTTCAAAACTTTTAGATTTACAAAAACTTGAAAGAGAAGCTAAAATTTGTCGGATGTTAAAACATCCTAATATTGGTAAGCGCTCAAAGAAAGCTCTAAATTTTAAGTATAAGTTTGTTTAATTTGACATAAAAGTTAGTGCAAAAATATATGATCTCAAGTTTAATTATTTAGTTCGCCTTCATGCAAGTATTCCAGAAGATGGTGTTCATTATCTTGTCTTTGATCTGTAAGTAATTTTCAAATTTATGCAATCATTTTTAATGTAATAATGTAGAGGTTTAAGTGTTCATTATCTTGTCTTCGATCTGTAAGTAATTTTTAAATTTATGTAATAATTTAGAGGCCAAAAGCTAATCAATGTTAATTTTGTGTAAACTTACTGCTACTAAAATTAAAATTTTACAACATTTGAAAAATTAAAATAATGCAATTAAAACTGAAACCATTTGATTTTTTTCTGATCTTAGAGATCATGGTTTCCAACCAGTTTTAATCTTACCATCCAAATGTTATATCATGGCTGGATAAGATAAACCTTCGTAAGGGATGGCTGGATAAGATAAACTGTCATCTAACTATCCAGCCTACCTGGTAAGGTAGGCTGGATAGTTAGATAACAGTTTATCTTATCCAGCCATCTCTTACGAAGGCTATTTATCAAAATATATTATCATTATTTTGATTAGCAAATGATTAATAAAAATAATTAAAAAAAAAAGAAAGTGTAAACTTAATTTCTTGCATCAAAGTTTCAACATAACTTGAGTGTGTAAAGAAATATTAATTGAATTGTTTACTTTTTTATGTCTTATAAGCTTTTAATCCTACATACAAATCTCAAAATAAAAAATTTTAAATTGCCTAATACAATATCTCAAAATAAAAAACAGCCAAAATTTTAAAGATAAATTTCTTGTTATTTTCTAAATATTATTTGTTTATTCATTTTTAAAATTTCAAAGTTTTTTTGTTTTTTATGTTTTAATAGTCAGAAATAAGTTACATAGAAGTTATTCCTAATTTTTTTTTAAGAGTTACTGGTGGTGAACTTTTTGAAGACATTGTTGCCAGAGAATACTATAGCGAATCAGATGCAAGGTAAACTAATTGTTTTAGACAACTTTTAAAAAATCCCAAATAATCAAGTAATCAAGTCAAAAAATCAAGTAGTATTTAATTATTATTATTATTTTTTTTTTAAATTTTAAAAGGTTTTTTTGATTAATTTAGTCATGTAATTCAACAAATCCTAGAGAGTGTTTTACATTGCCATCAAAATAATATAGTGCATCGAGATCTCAAGGTAAAAGTTTTGATTAAAACAAATTAGTAAAATCATGTTATAATATTTTCTTGGTTAAAGATTGATATCTCGCTAAAAGAAATTACATGTTGTATAAATATAGTTTTATAAAGATGTCATAACACCCTATAAATAAAATTTCAGACAAATTTTAATTACATTTATTATGTGATTTATTTCATGCACGCATTAAAATTGAAAAAAATCAAAGTTGTACCCAAAGATATAAACCCAGCTAACGTTCCAGAAGCAAGACCAATTGAAAACTTTTGGGGTGATTTAAAACGGCTAGTGTACGAGAATAATTGGAGAGCTGAGAATTTGGAAGAGCTTGAAGCAAGAATTAGATATTGCTATTCAAAGATGAATAATAAATTTTCCTTACTCAAATAAAACATTTTTCAAAAAAACTTCATAATATTGCTAAATATTGTATTTGAAATAATTATTTTAATATATCTATAAACTACATATACTAACATATTAACAGTTAAAATATTAAATAATAAAACTTGAAATATTAATTTTTAAATTTTGTCCAAAATTTTATTTATGAGGTGTTAGTTATAATAATGGTATAAGTAATAATAATAATGATAATAATAATAACAATAATAATAATAATAGTAATAATAATAAAAATAATAAAATAATAGTTTTTATTTTGTACTGTAATTATTTAAATATGTGTGCAAACTGTTTTTAAATTTGTAAACTTCTTCAATACTTGTAAAAATTACTTACATAAAATTTAATTTTCTTCAAGTTATGAATGATTTTCTGTGAGATCTAACAAAATAAAGGATAATTGAAAAAATGATTTAAATGAATGATTTTTACAAAGTAAAAATTCTTTATTTAAATCGTTTTTTCAGGTCAGAATTTTGTTTGTCGCCAAGATTCTGACCTGTTTACAGCAGACATTGCTATTAATATTATGTTTTCTGAATTAAAAGATGCTGAAAATTAGGCATGTTGCAGATAGCATTTTTTAAATATCCGGATGGATTCACAGGCTTGGCCATGAAGGCTTGCAATTTCACACTATAATATGACCACACAAATACTATTTGATTTTGAAAACTTGACTACGACTGTTGAGATGTTTTGAAAATTTGTATATATTTTGAAAATGCACTGAAAAATTATTTTAACTTATCTATAAAGAAACTTATCTATAAATAATTTAACTAAAACTAAAATCAAAAAAATTAAATTAAAACTCAACTAAAACAAATAATTAACTATAACGAAAAAATGTTAATAACTTTGAGTCATTTATCTTTACTAATACTTTTATGATAAAATATTATGGGAAACCCTTTTAAATAAAGTAACAACTTACATCTAACGATTGTTTAATAAATACGTACATTTAAAAGTTGAAATTAAAAAAAAAAGATTCTTAACAATTTTTTGCAGTAATGTTAACAAAAGAAAAAATAAAATTGTTTTTTTAAAAAGTTGATATAACTTTTATTTTATGTGGTTGTGGTGTAGTTGTAGAGTGCTTGCTTCATAAGTAAGAGGTTCCGAGTTCGATCTACACCACATTCCTGGTAGTATCCTGCTCAACTTATTTCTCAGCGCAACAGCCTTGTTCCTCAAGGATCGTATTTCAAATTATAGAGTTGAAAGAGGTTTTTAACCACATTTAAGTAGCTTCCTCGTCTTTAGTGGCCTTCTCGGCCTTTTGGAGGTAAATTAACATAAAATAAAAAAATAATAAATTTATAATAAAAAATACATTCTTATAAATATATAAAAATATACACGTATGTACAATTCATTAATACTTTATGATAAAAATAATAGCAGTGATTTGTTACTTTATTTAAATAAGTTTCAATATTATAAAATAATAAGTAAAGATCAAATTTATTTAATTCAATCGGCTTTCAAAAAAGTTATTTTTGTTTCTTCTCAACAAAATCTTTTTTCTTATCGAATCTATTAGCTTTAATGATTCTTATATAAAGTTTATTAAAGAGACGATCGTTGTTCAAAGTTGTGGCACATTTATTATATAAAAATTATTGATAATTTAATAAAAATCATTAGTTACTCTATTTAAAAATAATTTTTTATTTGTTAATTCCAATTTAAGTATTCATAAATTGATATAAGATATTAATGATTAGAAGTCAAAGCAAATACATAAAAAATAGCTATGATAGCTTTAGATAACCAACCAATTAGTATTAGTAATACTAAATGGTTGGTTATCATATACTGCTAAAATAATTAGTCTTATGTTTGAGCAACTTAAATTGCCTTTATTTAACAATAAATATTTTCTTTAGAAATGTACTTTTTTTTATATCATAGTTAATATTATTTAGATATTGTATCTTGTTTTAATCAATCCTGCGATCCTTTTTGATCATTTTTGATCTCAAAATCCATTTTGTTATTTAACCTTTTCTTGTTTTATTTAGTTAATTACATTGTACAACACCAAATAATATTCATGAAAGCCAATATCTGTTTTAGGGATTGCCTATAGAAATTGCTAAATTTAAATTAATTAAAAAAACAGAAGTAAAAGATTTTACTTCTAATAGGCTTTAAATAGTAAAGCCTATTTATTTATATTCACTAGCAATTTTCATTAAATCTTATGTGCTGTTTTGATTTTTTATTTAATCTAAGGCTCTGCAAAAATAAACTTAACATAACTTCCCATATTGTTAGGGAAAAGTCCACTTGTGACATTAAAAAAATGGAGCTTCAGGAAAATTTTACATCCTAAAGCATCATATGAGTTGAGCATTTGCACTTTCTTTTTCAAGGGTCTTCACCAGTTGTTTAATAGGACCCATTTTGATGTGTAGAGGTGGAAATTTCACATTTTGCTTTTCAACTAAGGGAACATAGCTGGTACCAGCATTGCTGGTGTTGCTGGTACCAGATATATCCATGTTCTGCAGTGGCCAATTTTTCCTTGTATACTTCTTGTATACCTTTTTGACTATCCCAGAGGTAAAAAACAACAACAACACTATTTTGTTTATCTTGAATAGTAGCCCAATTAAAGTAGAGTTTGAGAGCTTTTTGAGTTAGTTTGTGAGGGCTTATTGATATTTCTTAACTCTATATTGGAATCCTTGACAGGTCATTATAATGCACAATAATGGTGAGATGAATGAAGTTACCATAAGTTTAATTTATTATCTGATAGGAGAATAACAATAAGCAATGTATAAAACAAGCAGTTAGGTGTGTATACACAGAATTAACGGGTGGTTACTAAAAATCCGGACAAACTTTAACTGAATTTTAAATGCCACAAGCTAAATCTTTTTTATTCATGTTTATATCCATTTTATAGCTTATTTAATTCTCTATAAGTTAATTTTTTTTTTTTTAGATAATTAATAATAATTAAAAAAATAATGATGACCAAGCAAGAAGAGGTAAGAAAACGGATTTACGAGTTCTATTTGAATAATAAATTGCAAGGTAAAAAGTTCACAGTAGCTCACTTCAATGCTGAAAAAATCCCAAGAAGCACTATCTATGATATAATCAAACGTGTTGAGAATGATTCTGGGCACAAAAGAGTGCAAGGAAGTGGTCGTGTGGCCAAAATCATGACCCCTAAGAGGATCAAGCGCCTGAAAGCCATATTTGATCACAGTGACCGAGTTTCGATGAGGCAAGCTGGTCGAAAATTTAGATGCAGTCATTCACATATCATTAAAACTCTTGCCAAGTACACTGACATCAAAAGTTATACAAAACAGGGTATACCTCACCGACAAGAGAACCAGAATGAGCGAATCAAAACTGGCATTGATCGTCTTTATCGCGTTTTTAAAGGAAAATCGGTCATCCTTGACGATGAGTCTTACTTCACGCTGTCACACTCAACAATTAATGGAAACAGCACCTACTACTCTAGCAACAGAGACAAGACTCCACCTAGTGTTAAATATCGCAAAAAGCGCAAGTTCGAACACAAGGTGCTTGTCTGGCTGGCCGCTTCTGACAAAGGTGTTTCAAAACCATTTTTTATACCCAGCGGCCTTGCAGTCAATAAAGCCATCTATGAAATGAATTGTATTAGGAAAAGATTAGTGCCGTTCATCAACGCTTATCATGCCGATGGTAATTACATATTTTGGCAGGACCTGGCTTCATCGCATTATGCCAAAACGGTGACCAGCTGCTACGAGACTCATTACATCAATTTTATCAAAAAAGTTGACAATCCGCCAGCCGTACCGGAGTGTCGCCCAATCGAAGACTTTTGGGCTATTTTGAAAAGCAAAGTGTATGAGAGTAACTGGCAAGCAAAAGACGTGAAACAACTACGAACCAGAATAAAGCTTTGCCTGAAAAAAATTGACCTTAACCTTGTATTTTCACTTTTTGGGTCAACTCGTGTTAGAGTTGGCCGAATCCGAAGAAACAGACTGGTTGAAGACAAACTTAATTAAAATAAATAAATAACTAAAAACTCTTTTTAATGATAGTTTTATTTAATCTCTACCATAAAAACTTTGGGAGTAATTGCACTTGAAAGTTTGTCCGGATTTTTAGTAACCACCGGTTACATTACTAAATCCTTGACATACCATATATAAATTTTTTTTAATTTTTCAAAAAAAAGCAGTGGATGGTGGACATAAAACAAAATGACTTCAGATTTAAACATAAAACAAAATGACTTCAGATTTTACACAGAATTACATTACTAAATCCTTGACATGCCATATACAGAATTTTTTTAGTTTTTCAAAAAAGGTAGTGGATGGTGGACATAAAACAAAATGACTTCAGATTTAAAATCATGACATAAAATGACTTCAAGTTTTAAATCAACCCAGTCCATTTAGTATTAAAAAGATATTGCCTTTCATGAATTTTTTTTTTAACTTAAAATTTGTTTTACACTGTTATTAAATTCAATTTTCAGCCTGAAAATTTATTGCTTGCAAGTAAAGAAAAAGGTGCTGCTGTTAAACTAGCTGATTTTGGACTAGCTGTTGAATGTGACAATAAAAATGTTTGGCATGGTTTCGCTGGTACACCTGGATATCTTTCTCCTGAAGTTCTTAGAAGGGAACCTTATGGAAAGCCTGTTGATATATGGGCGTGTGGTATTAAATCAGCATATACACATTTTACATAATGACATCATTGTAATGATATTGTAATAATTGAATATTTTTTAACCTTTTTTATGTTGATTTTTAATTTATGACAACATTTTTTATTCAGGTGTCATTCTTTATATTCTATTGGTTGGTTATCCTCCCTTCTGGGATGAAGATCAACATCGCCTTTATGCACAAATAAAAGCTGCAGCTTATGATGTGAGAAATTATTTTTATATCTTTAGATTTTTTGTTTTCTTTAAGTTATTGTTATTATTTTTAAATTTTAGTATCCATCTCCTGAGTGGGATACAGTTACTAAGGAGGCAAAGGTATTTATGATTAATTATTAGTTTGCTAATTATATGGTATATGTATTAAGTGATTACACAAGTTAATTAAAATTTTAAAATAACAGTGAAATTGTTATTAGAAAAACAACTATGTAATTTTTAGAACTTTGTAATTATTGCAAAAAGAAAACTTTACACTTATTGCCACAGATGTGCAATTGTTACAAGGACTATGTAATGTTTTTACAACAATGCATATATTGTTTTAAAAAAAAACAATAACTGAATTTGTTGTTACAAGAATAACTGTGGAGTTGCACAGTTATTCTTGTAGCAACAAGAATAACTGTGCAGGAGTTATTTTTTTTTAATAGGAACTTATAGATTCAATGCTGACATTAGATGTTAAAAAACGAGTTACTGCAGCTGAGGCATTAAAACATCCATGGATTTCAGTGAGTTTTATATCATTTATTTAATCATAATACTAGTCTATAATTGAAATATATTGTGTATTTTTTTATGGTTTTACGGTCTTTTAGGACAGACACGCCTGTGCATCAACGTTCCACAGACAAGAAACTATTAACGGATTGAAGCGTTTCAATGCTCGTAGAAAACTGAAGGTTTTTAATTTTTTATATATTTTTATCAAATATCTGCGTTCGAGAATAATTTTATCACCTTTGATGTTAGTTATTATAAGTATTATATTCTCCAGGGTGCTTTTCTTACCAGCTTAATTGTATCAGCTGGCGCAAAAGTGCTAAGTACTACGGGTAATGAATCGAAAGTGATATCAACACCAATAAGAAGTGGCACTGTCATTGAAAAAAAAGCTGTGAAAATTGCCGAAGTTGTGGATGAAGGTTAGCATGATGAGAACAAAAGCATTTTTAATATATCAAACAGTAGATCATATGCTTTGCTGTTTGATTTATTCAAAAGTTTCATCTAAGAATAAATGCTACCAAAGATCATCAATCATGCATGCTGACTAATTTCAACACATTTCTACCTAAATAACCCGCCACATCTTAAGAAATGGAGAAATTTTTTTCCTGCGTACATAATTTTTAATATTTTTTTTTTAGTCTTTATTGTTTAAGTACCATTGTATTTTTTAGGGGGCTATATTAACTACAGTTTTTGCACGCAGAATCTCTGGTTCAACCGGCGGGTTATTGGGTAGGTTGACTATCGACTAACAATATGCATGCATTTTTATTTTCTCTTAACATTTATAAAAAATAAGTTTTTTTTTAGCCAAAGAAAAAGCTCTTGCTGATAAACAAAGAAAGGTATGTTTTATAATTTTATAATTTATATTTTTATTTTGGTAAAGAAAAATGTGTTTTTATTATATATATATATATATATATATATATATATATATATATATATATATATATATATATATATATATATATATATATATATATATATATATATATATATATATATATATATATATATATATATATATATATATATATTTTATAGGCATCTGATGATGAAGTTATAATTGATGATGATGACCAAAGAAGTTTGTTTTTTTTTTTTTTTGCTTTTTTTTTTTAATAAATTTTTTTAAATTTAATTGTTAAAAAATTCTTTTTAAGGGACAACTAAAATTTATAGCATAGCAGGACAACCAAGTGATTATTTCTAAAAGAGTACTTACTCATAATGTTTTTTTGTTTCTAAGAAAGTTACTTATACAGTTACTGTTTTATTCAGCTCACAAATTTTGTTTGGATTTTTTTTAACTAAACTTTTCAAACACTTTTATTTTTTTTATATTGGATGTTTTTAATAAACAGTTTTTTTGCAATCAAAGTATATGTTAAGTTTAACACTTTACATATACTTTGATTGCAAAAAAAAAGAGGTTTGTATGCCCCTTATTTTAGCGAGGGTGGAAACTTTATATTGATGTAACTTTTGAACTCTAAAATTATTAGATGAAATTTAAAACCAGCTGATGAGTTCAAGTTAAATAAAGTTAAGTTTAAAGTAGTAAAAATTTTAATTAATCATCAAAAAAATCAACAACAAAATTAATCTTTTATGATTTTTGTTGTAAAAAATAAAATTAAATCTTTAAAAAAAATTTCATTTTAAATATCATAACTTAATTCAAAATTGTTTTTAGTTTCCAAAGAACAAGAAATTGTTAAGCTTACACAAAAATTAATTAGTAGCATTACAATGGGAGACTATGAAACATATTCGTAAGTTTTTAATAATTACTTATTAATTTTGTGTGCTATTTAATTGTTATTAATGATTTTTTTTTTGTCAATTTTGAATCATCCTGGTTAAGATATTATAGGGGAAGGTTGCATAAGATGAGCAGGTTCCTAAGATGGTATAACCTTTTTTATGTTTATACCATCGTAGGAGCCTGTAGGCTAGATTTTTTTCCCAATTTTTTTGGTTGAGTATATTCATACATATTAAATTATATATTTAATATATATATATATATCATAATATTTTGGCTGCAAAAAATAATACGCTGTTTACGCTGTTGCAAAAAGCAATACACTGTCAACTTTTGCAACCTTTCCCTAATGATTTTATATTTAGGCAGGTAATGCTATTTAGCGTTGAAGTTATTTGATGTAAAACCTTAGTATTAAATTGTTCAATAATCAATTATTGAATAACTTAATACTCTAAGGGTTTACATTCAGTTGTGCTAAATGCAGTACATTCAAAAAACAGATAGTGCCAAATAGCAATTTTTTGCAAAAACTCTTCTAGGTTTGAGCTAGCATAAGTGTTGACTTGCATAAGGATAAGCATGTATAGTCATGTGCACTTATGTAAATTTGCACATAAACCTATGTTTTAAAAATTGTTTGAATTCTTACCTGTTTGCACTTATGCTAGTTTGCACTTAAATAAGTTTCTGCACTGTTTTGTACTTATGCAGAAAAAAAGCAAAGTATAAAACCTATATACCTAAGTTTTATGTTTAAATTCTATATTTTAAAATCTTATATATGGAGAAACAATTTATGGGAAATTTTCAAATATATATACTTTAATACTTTATGCAACAACAAAAAAAAAAGGAAATTTTTTTTATGCTTACATATTAAACTAGACTTTGTTTCTTTAATTTTTTTAATCTCTTTATTTTATTTGATTGGTAATTTCAGTAAACTTTGTGATGACAAAATGACGTGTTTTGAACCTCTTTGCAAAGGAAATTTGGTTGAAGGTCTAGACTTTCACAAATTTTACTTTGAAAACTGTGAGTTTTTCAGTTATTTTTTGTTATTAAAACTTTTTTTTAGTAAATGATTTTTTTTTTAAATACAGTTCATTAACACACTTTTTTGAATCACATTATGTTGCTTTAGTAAAGAATGCTGCCTCTTCTGTGAATACTACCATTCTTGCTCCACATGTCATACTTCTTTCAGATGAGTCTGCTTGTATTAGTTATATTCGACTGACACAAAAGATTGATAGGTATGACAAATATTTGAAGTTATTTCATTTAATTAGAACCCTAAATGATTTAAAAGGAAATGATTTTCAATACTGCTTGATTTTTATCTTTTATTTTAAAACGTTGCATTAAATTAGCTTTCTATCAATAATTTAATTATTAAAAATTAATAATTTATTAATAAATTTATATTATTAATTCTACTACTTAAAATATATTTGTATATGTATTAAATTTTATGTATTAAAATTTTTGTCTAATAATCATTGCAAATTAAATGTTCAATGTGCACTAGTTTTCTTTTTTTAACTTCAGAGATTATCGTTCTTATTTTAAAGTTCTTATTTTAATATTATTCGAAATTGTTGTATGTAATTAAGAACATCTCAACTGTACTTTTTTTTTCATTTAATCTTTTCAATTTTTTTTTTCTTGTAGTTTTTCCTACTATTTACGAAGTCATTCCAATGAAATGAATTATTTTTAAATCAATTTAAAATTATCAATTGCGTGTTTGCACTTTTAAAAAAAGCACTGATTTTATTTAAAATTATTATTAAAATAATACAAATTCATTAATTTTCAAGCATGAACTTATTTTTGTATTTATAAAGTTCAGTCATGAAGAACTATTACTAAAACTATTGTATTCAGTCATGAAGAACTATTACTAAAACTATTGTATTATAATATATTTTGCACACTTTGAATTTTAAAAATAATTATTTCTGTGGTTTTAACCATTCAGCTGAGTTTTATTCAATGGAGTTGTATAAAGCTTGCTGTAGTTGATGTTATTTAATGCTTTTTAGGAGTGTCTATATTATAATAATATCCTCTATATTTTTTACATAATATTATTCTGCTATCATTGTTGTTATATTGAAAAAGTGTATACCACTAATTTATCCATTTACATATTTACAGAGGAAGTTAAAAGTTACATGTTGCCACATAACTTTTTACTTCCTCTGTTGAGTTGGTTCTCCAAGTTTTTAAATTTTCTTTGCTTTAAGTTGTTACTAGGTTACATTTTGCAATATACAAATGAGCTATTTTTTATTAAGATTATAAAATATTAAAAGTATTATCATCATTGTATTGTGGGCCAGTAATCACCAAAACCCAAAAAATGAAAGTTTCAAAATCACCTTTTTTGCTGTAGAATATCAAACTAGGGTGCTTATGGACCAAGAAATCACTTTTTGTATATCCGTTAATCGTTTTTTAAGTTTCAAATGGGCTTTGGAATTTAAATATACTGGCCAATGACATTTAATCATTGGTCAGAAAGCTCTGAAAATCACTTTTTTTCTGTTATTTTATTTATAAAATGTTTGGGTATTATATATTAATATTATATAATATTTTATTTTTAAAAAAACCCTTTGAATCTTTACTCCTAAGACCAATTGTAAAGTCATCCTTAATATGTGTAACTTTCAATGTGTAGTAATCATCTGAAAGTGCATAAAACACAGTGTAGTTGTTTAAAGTATATTTTATTTATATTGCTTGTATACTCTTGAAGTTATATACTATTATATACTTTTGAACTTATATACTATTTTATACTCTTGAACTTATATACTATTGTACACTCTTGAACTTATATACTATTGTATAGTCTTGAACTTATATACTATTATATACTCTTGAACTTATATACTATTATATACTCTTGAACTTATATACTATTATATACTCTTGAACTTATATACTATTATATACTCTAGAACTTATATACTATTGTATACTCTTGAAATTATATACTATTATATACTCTTGAACTTATACTATTATATACTCTTGAACTTATATACTATTATATACTCTTGAAACTATATATTATTATATACTCTTGAACTTATATATTATTATATACTCTAGAACTTATATACTATTCTATACTCTTGAAATTATATACTATTCTATACTCTTGAACTTATATACTATTATATACTCTAGAACTTATATACTATTGTATACTCTTGAAATTATATACTATTATATACTCTTGAACTTATATACTATTATATACTCTTGAAACTATATATTATTATATACTCTTGAACTTATATACTATTATATACTCTAGAACTTATATACTATTGTATACTCTTGAAGTTATATACTATTATATACTCTTGAACTTATATACTATTATATACTCTTGAACTTATATACTATTATATACTCTTGAAACTATATATTATTATATACTCTTGAACTTATATATTATTATATACTCTAGAACTTATATACTATTCTATACTCTTGAACTTATATACTATTATATACTCTTGAACTTATATACTATTGTATACTCTTGAACTTATATACTATTATATACTCTTGAACTTATATACTATTGTATACTATTGCATACTCCTGAGCTATTTATATTACTTATATACTCCTATCCATTCTGAAAAATATTTTTCCAAATCACCCTTTTTGTACTCCAGAGACAATCTTCTGAACCTTGTGATTTATTCTCAGTTACTGCAACAATCCATAAAACATTGGTTTTATGGATTGTTGAAGTAAAAGGGCTCTGTTTTATTTGGGAAGGGAGATGCTTTAAGTTGCTGTCTCGGTTTGGGTGTTGAAAACCTTTCCTGGGGAAAGTGTTAGTTAATATAAACAAAAAGTAGAAAAACTGTTAGTTAAAAATGTATTTGATATATATTTGTTACTTAATGATGAATGCGTAAAATGCTGAATAAAATTGTTTCAAATAACAGGGCATAAAATTACTTCAAAGCCATTAGCAAACTTGTTTTGATCATAAATTTTTTTGATGGACCTACAAGAAAAAATTTTTATAAGCAAAGTACTGAAGATTGTGTGCATAAATCCAATACCACTTGGAAATTTCTATTCTTGAAATATGTAGTTTTTTTAAGCTTTTAGTTAAGGAAACAAGAGAGATTTAATGGTTAAATATAAAAATACAGTTCTCAGTTCTCAAAAATACAGTTCTCAGTTCATCTAGTGGTTTAAAAAAAAAAAAATGATGAAAATGAATCTTAATTTGAATAATTTTGACAATTGGGTTTTTATTGAAACATGACAGAACAGAACATGACAGAACAGAACAGGGACAGAACAGAACAGGGACAGAACAGAAATATAGTAGGAGCATGTTAAGGAAAAAGAGAAAATCAGGAAGCTTCTAAAAGAGAATCAAGCTCAAGTTGTAAATGATGGAAATACTAGAGAAATACTTCATAAACAATATATTTTTATTACATGTTTTAAAGATTATTAATTTCAATTGCTTTGAGGCTTTTTATTAAGTTGTAAAATTGCCAAAGTATTTATTTTTTTTGAGTTTGCATATGCAGAAACAGCAGAAATATGCAGAAAAATTGGGAATGAAAAATGAATATGTACTAATTATGAAATAAAACATCATCGTGCCTTTTTGATCTGGGTCACTTTTAGAATTAAAAAGACATTTTTTAAGAATCAGATAAATTTCTGAAATTGACTGACTTTCTCCAAACTACTTAAACTTTTTACATTATGATCAAAACATAGAGAAAACCTTTTGGGTATAAGTTTCACTGGGATTCTTGATTTGAAATTTAATGATTTTTTTTAAAAGATAATTAGTTTTTTCCAGCTTTGAATATATTTTGCCTAATTTAATTATTTATATTGCTATATAAAAACAACAACTTTATAAAAATTTTACCGAGCTGTAGAATTTTAGAACTCGTTAAACCTGAACATGTTTTTTTTTTTTTTTTTTTTTTTTTTTTGTAGCACATACATCTATTTTGCTTTTTAACATTACTTAACTTATAACATAATACAGAACAACTATACAATATTTAAAATAATTAAACAATTTAAAAAATATAAATATTTTTAAGATTTCTATACTCTTGATCTATTCGTTTGCCTAAAAATTAAAATTAAATTAAAATGTCAAATCTCAAGTAATAAACTCATGCTAGTTTAACAACTTTTACTTTTACAACTGAACTAAATCTTCAACTGCCAAAAGATTATTATCAGAGTTATTATCAACCATTTCAGAGATTTTTATTATGTCATTGACAGAATCAATGTATTTCCTTAAAACTTGTCTTTGCAGCTGCACTATACATGTCACACAAAGATGTTAGTCCTTGGCCTTGCCTTAAGGTAAAAAAAATTTGGCCTTGGCCTTGATTGCTTTGGCCTCGGCCTTCAAAAAAAAAAAATACATAAAATTAAAGAATAAAAAGTTTTATTATTTTTATGTATTTTTGTTTTCGGTTTTCATATATATCTACAAGTATTTTTCTTATTGACTTTATAGAATTTTGCCCATAACCTTGGTTTATTTTTACAACATGTGGTTTATTGTCACAGGAATTGTTACCAACAGTTTTGTAAAAGTTGGCCTCAACATTAGGCAAAAGTTTAAGTCTTTGGTCTTGAAAATATTTGTGTAGGCTTTGGCCTTGACCTTTAAACTCTCGGCCTTGTCCTTGGCCTTGTAACTTTTAGCCTTGGTCTTGGTCTTGACTTTGTAACATGCAGCCTTGGCCTTGCTACTTATGCCTTAATAATTTAGATGTTACATTAATTTTTTCTGCAACATCTTTTTCTGCATACATTGTACATTGCTTCAGCTAAAAGATTTCCCTAATAGCTGCCAGCATTATCAGATATGGTACATCTTGAGCTGATCAATCCTGAATTGGTCTAAAACTACAGTGGATAACACTAGGGTTGGCAAAATCCCAGTTTTTTTTTTAAAAAAACTCGGCCCAGTGAGTTTTTTTGGGTAATTATGGGTTTTATTGGGTTTTTTTTGGGTTTTAATTTGTCTCTGTTAAAAAAAAATTTTGTTTTTTTGTTTAATGATATTGTAAATTAGTTTCATTTTCTACTTAAACTTTATTTAAAATATATTTTATATATTGTTATTTAACAATTTATAACAAGAATTTTTCAAACTATTTTGAAAAAGATTTTTAAATATAATTTAAAACTGTAAGAAAAATAATTTCACATTAAATCTATATGTATTGGTTTATTTTAAATTTAAAGTATTATTCTATATAATTAAAAATGTCAATGAGAAATGGGATAAAGAAGGTTAGAGAATGGGAGGTAGTAACTGAACTTTAAATTAAACTTTGAACTTGAAATTCAAATGAACAAACTTGTTTCTATGCGCAGCGGCCTTGTTTATAAAGATTTGTGTTTAAGAGTTAAAGAGTTGAGAGAGGGTTGAAACCACAATAAGGTAGCCTCCTCAACTGTAGTTGGCTTCTCTGGCCACTACTACTCATTTAAATTCACCTTGGGAGATGAATAACATAAAAGATTAAAAAATCTCAATCGATAAAAATATTTGAATAAAAATTGTAATAATGTATTTCCAAATATTAGTAAATTCAAGATTCAAATATTAGTAAATCTGTTCTGATAGCTGTTATTGCTGGTTATAATAGTTAATAATAAGTAATAATTATTATTAATAATTAGTAATAATTTAGTTAATAATAAAAGTTAAAAATTATTTTAGTTGATAATATTATAGTTATAATGTTAAAGTTGACTATAATAGTTCATAAATTTATTAAATCTCTTTAAAAAAAACCCAGATTTCTCAGGGTTTTATTGGTTTTTTTATGCAGGTTTTATTGGGCGGGTTTTTTAATGCCAACCTTGGATAACACATATCTGATCACACCATGACATTAAAGTAAAAAGTAATAATTCCAGCTTTTTTATGAAGAATATATCTATGCAAACTTATTCTTTTTTGCCAAAATACTCTTTTTGAGTCATTGACACTTCAATTGGTTTAACTTATTTTCAGGTACCTTATATTTTTCCTTTACCATATTGGAGGAATTTAGCTAAAACGTTGTACAAATTAGCTAAAACGTTGTACAAATGTTTGTTAGCAATAGGGTCCTTCATTCCAGCTTAACTTTTTTGTACTTTTGGTGTGCATTGTTGAGCCCACATTTGGAGCAATTTGTTCAGCTTAGGGTGTTATAGCAGTAATAAGGCAATTACTTGGACTATTAAATAGTGTACTGAGTACTATCTGTCCTTTGAGTCAAGTTCTTTAACAAATTCAAAAATTACTAAATTACGAAAAACTATAAATTAAAATTCTTTTAAAATTAAAAGACTTGAATGCTCATCATACTGAATGACTTAGCTCTAGTGTCATTGACTCTGCAGGTGTTAAGGCCCACAACTTTTGCCTTTCTCAATCTCTAACACAAATAGTCACCTTTCCAACTTGCTTTTCAAACAATCCAAATCATTTACCTTCTCTACTCAACTTATGTCATGTTTCTGATTCTAGTAAGTGGTCAGTTTCTCCACATTCACCCTTAAGTGCTTCTGATCACGGTTTGATCTCTCTAAAACTATTATTTCATTCTTCATCATCAGAATCCTCTTATCATCGTACCTCTTATAACTACCTTAAAGCTAACTGGGACTCTTTCCGTGATTTTATTTGTAATGGCCCTTGGGTTGAAATCTTTCATCTTCCTGCTTATAAATGTGCTACTTTTTGGATTCAGGCTAGCATGGAATCCTTTATTCCGTCTTGACGATTCCAAGTCAAGCCTCACTCTTCCCCATGGTTTTCCTTACATTGTACTGCTGCAATTTCCAATCGTAACCATTACTTTCATATCTATCAGCAAAACAATTCTCCAGAAAACTGACGTCTGTTTACTACTGCTAAAACCATTGTAAAAAGGTTTTGTCTAATGCCAAAGCCTACTATTCTCAGGTAAATCTCGTATTTCATCTCAAAAATTAATCTCACATGACTTCTGGAAAGTCTTTAAAAGTATCTATAACAAGGGTAAATCTTTTAATCCACCTCTTTTATATGGTTCAGATTTTGTCACCTCACCTTAAGACAAAACTGAATTGTTTGCTAATAACTTTTTATCAATATCATCTCTTGATTCAATTAGTCAGGTTCTTTCTGATATAGCCAAGAAACAGGTTAATCCATTGCCTGACTTTCGTATCACCCCAGCTTCTGTATCCAAAGTGATTTCTTGCTTAGACTTTTTTCTTCAGCTTGTGGTCCGGACAACATACCTGTTATAGTCTTGCAGAAGTGTTCTCTAAAGATGTCGTCTATACTTTCAAAACTATTTAACAAGTGCTTATCAGAGTCTTGTTTTACATCCTGCTGGAAAGTGATATCTATTATCCTATTTTTAAAAATTCTGGAGAACAATCACACTCGTCTAGCTACTGTCCCATTAGTCTTCTTCCTATCATAAGCAAGGTTTTTGAGTCTTTAATTAACAAACACTTAATCTCTTATTTTGAATCTAATAACCTATTTTCTGATCATCAATATGGATTTCAATTTCCTCGTTCTTCTGCTGATTTGTTAACGGTTAATGTTGAGAGGCTAAGACTATTGCTCTCGGCATTTCTAAAGCTTTATGTCTTCTCCATAAGCTCTTTTTTTACGGTGTATCAGGTTCTATCCTTGGCCCTATACTTTTTTTAATTTACATTAACGATCTCCAAGAAATTCTCACATCTAAGGTGGCATTGCTCGCTGATGATACTACCATTTATTCTTGTCTTGATAGGAAGCCAACACTTTCTGATTGCTTGGAGGGGGCATTTTAGCTCGAAAAGGATCTCACTTCTGCTACAGCATTGGGCTCTCAGTGTCTTGTGAATTGTAGCTCAGATAAAACTCAATTTTTTTCAGCTAATCATTATCGCGATAATCTAGATCTTCCTAAATTTATGAATGGTAATGTACTCGATGAGTCATCTACCCTTCATCTTCTTGGATTAACTCTTACTTCCGATCTTTCTTGGAAACTATATATCAACTCCATTGCATCTGCTAAGGTTGCATCTCTTTATCGTGCTCTACACTTTCTTTTTCCTGATTCTATACTTTATCTCTATACTTTATCTCTATAAATCTCAAATCCGTCCTTGTATGGAATACTGTTGCCATATCTTGGGCGGATCTTCGAATGATGCCCTTTTTCTTTTAGACAAGGTGTAAAAAAAGCATTGTAAACATAGTTGGACTTGCTCAGCCATTTTTAGGCATACAAATAAAAACAAACGATTTCTATATGTCTTGGCACAAAGCATTTACTTCTTAGCGGAAGCAATTTCTTATGAGTTAAAGCCAAATTTTTCAGCTCTTACTTTTACTCAAAAACTTTTATTAACCTTATAGAAGTTAAATTCGACTTCTTGCTTTTCCAAAAAAATATGGCATAAAAACTGGTAAAAAGTATTTTTAAATTTTTCAAAATTTCAATCAATTTTCAAAAATTTCCAACTCTGATTTCGAATATTAGAAATATTCTTGCGAGAAATCCTTTTTTCCCAACAACAATGTAAACAGTGTTTCTCTATGTTCTGATTAAAAATTTAAACAATTTTAAAAGGGTTTTCCACTGCCTGTGTTATTCTTTCTAATAGTGACTCAACACAATTTATTAACCACATTTTATTTGTATACTTTTAGTATCCAAAAGCATCAAAAAAATATATATTTAAAAAAAAAATGCCATCATATATTTTTAGTAACCAACAACCGTTAACAGAGCAGACGGAAGAGAGCAGGATTTGGCAACGAAAAGGAAGTCGTTGGGTATGTGTTCATGTGCATATTAGTCGAAACGGTTCTGTTAGGTAAACCTATGAAATTGGTTTTTGAGGTTTGGAAATCTTGCGCTTTTTGGTACACTAAAGTTTTATTTTTTGCTTTAGTGATACCATAATCATGAGAACAATGTTTCTCTATTTTTATTTTGAGCTAATTTTATTACATTCGTACATCATTTTTTTAATTTTTTTATATATATATATATACATAATTTATTTAGTAATTGACATATTTTTCAAATTGAATTAGCTTTAGTCCACTTATGATAGCAATTTTATTATTTCTCCTTCATTTATTATTCCTCCTAACGGTATTGTTTATGTGCCTGATCCTCCGTCATTTTTTTAAACGTTATTTTTTTTATGTATGTGTTCATTTCCTTATCATTTGTAGTTTTGTAAACGATTTTGCGGTAAAATTCGACATCATGATCAATTATATCTTTTACTATAGCGTGATTTATTTATTTTTTTGTCATATTTTACGGAAACGCGGTGTATTTATTTAACGAAGAAAGTTTTTCAACGTATTATTATACATTGAAATATAATTTCTACAAATGCTCATTACAAAACGAGATTTTTTTTGGCGAATTTTGTATCCATACAACACCTCTAACTATAATATCAATCAATAAAAAGGTCTTTACAAAAAACCATTTGTTATAACATCTAATACAAAAAATATGTTTTCTTTTTAATCCAGCTTTAAGGTAATGCTTTATGATAATTAATTCGGCGGCAAAATGTTATAAATGTTACATGTTATAAATGCGGTACATGGTAAGTTAATTTTACTCTTGCATTACGTTTCTAAGATGTTTCAACTCTCGCATTACGTTTCTAAGAAAATAGCATTAATTGACGTTGGATCTGTACAATTTGGCTAGTTACATTATTAAATACGGTAACGTATTTAATAATGTAACTAACTAAATAACTTAACCTTAAACCAATAGAACCACTATATACATCTACACCTTAATTTATTAAAAAATAAATAAAAAGCATAACATTAAGAAAGGTGTCATCTGATTGATATTTTTAGAAATAAATTATTTTCATATTTTAAGTATTTATCTTTTTTATGAAGGTTATATGAAAAATCTTGAAATGATATAAATAAAATCCAAGTCTAAAAAAATATAATAATTAATTTGAACAAATATAAATTTTGAAATCGAGATATAATCAAAATGCTAAAGGATTTTCAGAAATAAAATGAAAACAAAAAATTTGTTGCTTGTATATTCTTTTTGATGTTTGCCAGCACAAATTTTTTAATAAAAAGCCATAAAACTGAGCAGCCTTTCAAGTCATATCTGTGATACCTATTTTGAAATTCACAATACTTGAAGTAATCTTTTTGTAACATACAAATCCTTTTGGGACTTCGCATTCCTGCTTGGATTGTGGCTTTACTTAGATAACCTTAACACAAACATCAAGGTTTTCAATTATCTGATATCTATATCAATTCAATTATCTGATATCTGTATCAGATTACTATAACCTCATACAAAGTATATCTGATGCCTTATTATATATATATATATATATATATATATATATATATATATATATATATATATATATATATATATATATATATATATATATATATATATATATATAATGGAGGGGTTGCTATCTACATTAAGCGTGATCTAGTTGCGCATGAGGTATCTGATTGTCATCTAAGAGAGACCTTAAACAACAGCAACTCCGAGCAAATATGGTGCGAAATTAAAATCGTTAACGAAATGATTCTTATTGGCTGTGTCTATAGACCACCTCTATCCCATATAGATGATATAAATAAAACAATTATTTCAGCTAAGCAAGCTGTTGATAGAAAAGCGTATAGTTGTATGTTATTAGCATGCGATTTCAACTTTCCGGATAAAAAATGGCATAATGACGAAAGAATTGAATTACTAAGCGGTCAAAATAGTGCTGCAAGTGTTTTTCTTGTAACTTTGGCTAATCATAATCTAGAACAATTAGTTGATTTCTCAACCTTTAAAGCATCTAATGGAAATGCAAAAAATGTTTTGGATTTAATTATTACAGACTCTTCAACTAGAGTAATCAATTTATATAGCTCTATGCCGTTAGGTGATTTGTCACAAGATCATCGCATATTGAGTTGGGATTATGTTGTCTTCTCTAAAAATAGGGCAACTTTCTCAAACAAAAAGTATGATTTTAATAAGGGTGACTATAAAAACTTCGATAAAAAGATTATGGAAACTAACTGGCAGCAATTATTTGAAAATAAATGATAAACTCAGCAAGCAATTCATCCCGTTAAAAAAAGTCCATTCTACTCGTAATGCACCGTGGATGAATAAGGAAGTATTAGCTATGATAAAGAAAAAACAACAACTGGGCAATTACTTATCTATGACAAACTGGGGATCATTGACCCTCATTTGTGAATATAAGAAACTAAGAAGCCAAATTCAGAAAGCATGTACACATCGTGTTCGAGTAGTTGAAGCCCAACTGGCATCAGATAAAAATAATCCAAAAAGAATGTATGCTTATGCTAAAGCGCAACAGAACGTACATGTATCTATTGGCGCTATATCAGATGCAAAAGGTGAAACGTTAACAGAGGCAATACATATCGCAAACAGACTTAACGAACACTTTAAATCAGTTTTTGTTGATGATAGTATAAATGATCAGTTACCGGTTTTTGAGAGAAGACATAATCAAGAAGACTTAGGCAATGTAATAATAAGTTTTGAAGCAACGCTAGCCTATTTGAATGGTTTGAACCCGAACAAATCTATTGTTGTTGATAACATTAGTCCAAAGGTACTTAAAGAATGTGCAGCTCAAATGACTTACCCTCTAACATTAATTTACAATAAAGCACCGTCTGAAGGCTCAACACCTTTAGCCTGGAAGCAGTCACATGTTACACCATTGTTTAAAAAAGGAGTCGTCTTGATGCCGCTAATTACAGACCAGTGTCTATCACTTCAGTTCCATGTAAAGTAATGGAAAAGATTATCAAGGAACAGATAACTAAATATCTTGAAAAAAAGAGCTGCATCTCAAATAATCAACATGGATTTATGTCCAAAAAGGGATGCACGTCTAACTTATTGGAAAGTATCGACTACATTACAAAAGCGTTAATCAAAAGAAATTTTGTCGATATTACATTTTTAAGCTTTACAAAAGCGTTTGATAAAGTTTCTCATTGTAGACTAATACATAAATTGAAAGCATATGGAATCAATGGTAATGTTGGCAAATGGATTGAGTCATTTTTGACTAACAGAAAACAACGAACAGTTTTAGGTAATCACTCTAGCGACTGGATGTTTTAAGCGGAGTTCCACAAGGGTCTGTACTTGGTCCAACATTATTCATCATCTACATAAACGACTTAACGGATAATTTAAAATCAGTTCATAAAATTTATGCTGATGACACTAAACTGTTGCAAGAAATAAGACCTGAGTTTCACGATGCTGATTGTCTGATTCTTTAAAATGATTTAAACATTATCTCAGAGTGGTCAAAAGAATGGCTTATGTAATTAAATGTTGCAAAGTGTAAAGTTATGCACTTTGGCCATGGAAATATAAATCATGAATATGTAATGAATGATGGTAATACATCTCTTATTATAGCGGCAACGGATATTGAAAGAGACCTGGGTATCTTTTTATCTAACGATCTAAAATGGAATCAACACATACAGGTTGCGACACGTAGAGCAAATATGATACTTGGCCTACTAAAAAAACATTTAAATCAAGAGATATTAGGCTTTGGGGTAAACTATATACTACGCACCTGGAATTTGCTGCTCCGGTATGGTGTCCTTACTTAAAGGGCGACATCAAAGAAATTGAAAAAATTCAGCACAAAGCAACAAAAATTCCTCATGATATAACAAGTTTACCTTATGCTGAAAGGTGTCGGCGTCTCAATTTTACTTCTTTGGAAACTCGCAGGCGACGTGGCGAATTGATCCAACAGTTAAAACTTGAAAACGGTTTTGAAATTATTAATTGGCATAATCCACCTCTTCGCAGATCACCATCCAACGTACTAACGCGTGATTTTACTTACAATAATGCTCGACATAATTTCTTCACAAATCGTATTGTGAATGATTGGAATTATTTACCGTTGTCATGCAAAAAGGCTCCGTCAATTAACGCATTCAAAAGTAGAATTGACAAGTATTTTTTTCCTACATCTGCAAACAGTACATCTTTTACTGAAGATGAGCTGCACGTTTAAATTAATTAATTCGTGCTTTAGCAGCTACAAATATTGACTTTTTAGGTACATTTGTCATAAACGTAAACTGTAATTAAACTAAAGCAAAAAAAAAAAAAAAAAAAAAATAATAATAATAATAATAATAATAAAAAAAAAAAAAAAAAAAAAAAAAAAATGCTTTTGTTTTTTAATCTGTTTATTGGATTGTTTTTTTATTTATTTGTCATGTTATCTTTAAAGACTTATTTAAATATATTACTATTACTATTACTATATATATATATATATATATATATATATATATATATATATATATATATATATATATATATATATATATATATATATATATATATATATATATATATATATATATATATATATATATATATATATATTTGCCGTTTAAATATTGTTACAATAATGAATCGTATAAATTGAATTTACATGGCAGGAGCAAAAAGAAGACAACAGTAGTCTTATCACTAAGCCCCGTAGTTAAAACCGTGTTTTACATTTCATTATATAATGTTTTAATACATATACATACATGTTTTACACATACAGACACGCATATACATATACACACATACATACATATACACACATACACACATACATACATATATACATACACACACACACACACACACACACACATACACACACACACACACACACACACACACATACATATATATACACAAACACATATACACACATACATATATTTATACTTTTTAAAATAAAAACCTTTAAATTGTAATTTTAATAGATAATAACAAAATATAAGAAGCAAATAGCAAAATTCAAATTCAAAAACTAAATTTCAAAATAAAAAATAATAAATTAAAAAAAGAGAGAGAGAAAAGCGAAATATAAATTCTCGAGACGACCAAAAGAAAATGTCGTATTGAGTAAATAGTGAGTAAATTTTTTAAAAAGGGTATTAAATATAGAAGGCGTCATTTTTTTATCAATTTTGTACATAAAAATGAGTATCTGATAAATGTTTAGTTGAAAAATATTGAGTATCTTTAGTTTACTAAATAGATCTTTTGATGGTGTTAAACGGTTTACATTTGAAATGATTCGTATAGCATGTTTTTGTTTGCTGAAAAGTTTTTTTAATTTGGTTGTGTTGGTGCTGCACTAAGCTATGTTTCCATAATTAAGGTAGCAGTGAATAAAAGAAAAGTATATATTTTTTAAACAGTCTTGATTTAATACTTGTTTAGCTATATATAATACGCCAATATTTTTTGATACTTTGTTCTCTATTGTATTTATATGTTCACGCCATGAAAGGTTTTAGT